GAAGTGACCTGGAAGGCGATCTACTACTTCGCCACAACGCTCGGCTACGAACTCGTCGACATTGACATCCCCTACCTCGTCGAGGGCCAGTACGCTCACAGCGGTTGGGCGCTCACAGAAGGCGTCGACCACCAGCGATCACGCGTGCTGGACCCGGCCAAAGCCCTCTCGAACTTGAACTATTGCAATCAACTCCTGATGACGGTCGGCGCGTGCTCCTCCGGCGTCGATATGATCAAGTGGGGACAGGTGAGGGGCCTGCTCATGGAGCACCTCGCGTTCCTCTTCAAGAAGCATCCCAACTTGCTCATCGTGACGCCGACGGTCCCCGACGCGGGCTGGAAGATCCACCCCGGAGACGAGGCGTACGGGTTCAGCGACGGGAATGCGACAATCCGATATATGATGTACATCTGGCTGGCAAACGCCACGGGTTGCCCTGCGGTTAGCGCGCCCGTGGGTTACGTGGATGCTGAGGTGGGCGAGGGTAAGCTGCCCGTCGGTTTGATGGCGATGGGCGAGTGGGGCGCTGAGGAACAGCTCCTGGCTTGGGCGAAGGATACTGAGACTTATTTGAATACTGTTTATGAGGGTGGTCGCTTTAGGCCGAAGGACTGGGCTGATGTTGTTGAAATTGCTAAGAGTACGGAGTAGGGATAGAGTTTGAGTACGATCCGAGATGTTCGTCAAGCGTTTACAAAGAGGTAAGGAATAGCCTTACATGTACCTGTATCCCTAGACTTTTAGAAGTTTTCGGACAATATCTCAATGTTAAGAGAACCTTGAGTTTGAACGCCTTTTTATAAGGTTAATATACGTCAAATCAGTAGAAGATTGATGCCTAGTATCTACCGGAGTTACGATGCAGAGTCGTCTGCTTCTTTTTCATCTTCAATTAACTGGGAAGCAGTCAGTGATACCCCTAAATAGCTTCCAAAATGAAAGGTTATAGGTACACTTGAACCCGACCTACTACAAGAGCACATTAGGAACTCATACTGCTTACGTTGTAGTTACCGGTGAAAGGCCACGTAGAGATCTCTGCGAATCAATCAAGCCGTGAACTTGCATCTTTGTCGTACAGATTTCTTTGAATCCTACTTTTCATGGCATGATTACATTAGATAAGTACCTATCATGCTCCATATCAAATATTCCCTAGTTTATAGTATATAATAGGAGGTTATTCTCTTCAATTGGAATAGGGATACGCTACTAAAGGAGATATCCCATTGCCATAAGCGTCCTCAAAAAGGAAGGTGTTACGCAACCTCTCTTTCGCCTCTGCACCCCAGAATACACTGAATACCACCAGATAAATGGATGCCACATGTGCCTGATTTACTTCTGACCAGGGGAGACTCTTGATCTGAGCTCGTTGGGGGCGCCTACTCGTCTCGCATCTGCTCGAATCAATCCGAATTTCCTCGACTGGAAGAAGAAAAAGGCCCACCTGCGACACGACTCAAGCCTGCGATGTCACACAGGTACGCAACAAATACTACTTAGGTAGTTCGACCTTTTCACGAGTTTTCCAAAAGCACATTACAGCAAGTTCTAACAGGACATAGCGGTCAGAGCAACATATGGCTTGGCTATCCCTTTCCCAATCATAACTTTTAGGGCTATCTCCGAGATATGAATTCTTTGTTACCCGAGATGGAAACTTGCATACCCAGCTTCTTATCTGCTCCTTGCAGATCATTGAAACGTATATGTAGCTCAACTAAAGCGCGTGCTCACTACGATGTAGTCACGTCACTTTGCAAGAGGATCGTTTCTGATAGGAGTCGCAGTGCTACACTGGGATATACGGAGACGCCTATAGGCCCCGCCATGCCCCCCTTTCTTGAGGGGTTAGCACTCAATGGAACTTGGAGAGAGGTGAAGGAGATTTCCAACGACTGAAGTATTGGCATATCCAGATTCGCGAAGGTGCGTAGCGCACATAAAGTTGGTGCCACCCTTCCTCATCTTTCTGCAATGGTAAATCTAGAGGGTTTCGTACTCTTCAGACACATGTATACCTACCGTTTAACAAACCATCAATTGAATATGGAATAATCTAGCGCTTCTGAGGCGGCTCTTAAAGCTCTCACAAGAATCTGATCTACAAGCAGCTAATGGTCCTCAGGCCTTATCAGATCTCGTAACACGCACAACTTAACTTCTATTCAGATCGAATTCACGACGATCGCTGTATCGAATCGTGAAAACCAGGCTCAGTGACCATAACACCGAGTTAGCTTCCCTTATCCTTGTTCACCAGCGCCCAGTAAGTTTGCCCAATTACCCAACCGAGAAGAAGCCCCAATCGTAGTAAGCGTACCTGATCACTGGGCGCCGCAAAGTTTCGCGTCAGGCTAGCCCATAACCAATTTTCAGCATCAGCAGTCTTGATTTTACAGAAAAATTGCATAGCTTGCCTTTAAAAAGGAGATAGATTGAAGATATCATGGTCTTCCATCAAGGTTATACCCGAGACCTTTACTTTGGCCCTGGCGTGGGGTGAGTTTCATCGACCATGATCTCTCGGTAGTATAGACGACTCCAACACCGCTGGCATATTCCTACTTCTACCATTGGCCGTCTCTCGCTTAGGATCTTCCATTCTTATTGAGCTTTACTAGCTCAGTGGGCCCAAAGTAGCTGCGGCTCCCCCCACGCCGATCTAAGAGGAAATCTGTAACATGGATTATCTCGGTAACAAACCCGAGCGAGGTTGTAACTGTGACAGTACCGGCGGCTTAGCTTGTTATGTCAACGGCAGTGAAGTCGTCACCTACATCAATGAATGGCTACCCTTGATGTTCCTGGGTAGCAGACCTTATTTTCCCGGTGCTCCAGTGTTTGATTTGTGCGCTTTCTACCTCCGAGTCTATTTTAACAATCCCCAATGTCTCAATCACGTCTTACCGAGTCGATATGGTGGTTCAACTGCTGCATGAGGTAGTTGGCACTGCTGTCGCGGTCCTTTTATACTCGTTTTTATGTTTGACAGCTAGTTCTATTATGATATGGCTAGTATGGACACACCATGAGAGAGATAGCTGTACGTTGGATGTTACAGAATTGCTGCACCACCCTTTCCAATACAGGCAATTAACAATAATTCTCAATAGATGTCGCTTTGCTTTCATATTCCACGCTCCTAGGCACAGTCGCGAGTATCATTCAACAGTTCCACACATTCATCTGGTGGCGTGATGTCAAAACCGAGCAGTACGAATACACCGCCGAACATCTTGGCAACCCAGAGATAGCCGTCGCAGGACCATCGGTCGGCCTGGATCTCGTCCTATTCTATATACGCAAGTCAGGAAACCTTTGGCTAAGAGGAGATTTACTAACTATCATTTTAGAATACTACACGTATAATGTCGAAGCAATGTTGACGCTTTTCTGGGCTGTCGCACTCACGCATACCGTGTTTAAACTAGTGGACTTGACGACTTTTAGACACATCAGACATCGAACCAACCAGGTGACGAAAGCTGTGGGAGTCATTTTGCCTGCCATTCTCATGTGCTTGCTACGCTTGGGAGCCGTCCAGAAATCGCATGCAGCTTTCTTGGTACTAGCCAACTTCAACAGTACGTGCCAATATCATCCTTGTTAAGGGGCAGCCAAGATAACCAGGTATTAGTAATGATTAGCCTTACGATCGGCAGTATACTACTGATAGCGATTCTCACAAAGTATATCTACACTCGACATCGACTCGTCTCGTGGAACACTCGCTATCTGTTCTCTAGGCCGCAAGAGGCCGGTGGGGAGATTATCAATGTGCTGGACCGAGGTGATGGACGTCAAAGCATCTACGATCGTTGGCTTGTATTGCGCTTTTCGATCGGCTTCGTCGTTCTGGCTGTCTTCCAGTTAATCACGATCCTATCAGAGATCGCGCAGATGTCGAATCACACCAAGGAGAAACTAGGTGAAGCTGCGAATTTGTCGGTGGCAAAGGCTAAAAATGACTTCCTACTCTTTATGCCAGGCGTTTCTACAAGCTTGCTTGTAAGTCAATTCCAGCGATATCGTCATTATCCTACCAGCATGGGCTCTGAAACTGTATTTATACATAATGATTCATCTTTACCAACTGACGAGACCGCAGGTTTTCATCGTTTTCGGGACCACACGCACATTCCGGAAAACAATGTACAAGACATTCATCCCGAAGAGGTTCCAGAAGCACTCAGCAAACGCAAAGCCAGCTGCAGCCGCCATCCCCGGCGAGAATATCCGCGAGGATGAGGAGTGCGCTCAAGAATTACAGGCTGCGCCGAACCAGGGACCGTCGGATATGGCGTCGAAGAATGTAAGCGAAGCAACAACACTTGGCACTGAAATGAGCGACCACCGTCCGCCGCCTTTGGCTATACCAAAGAATACTTGGGCGAGATGAAGGGCGGGTCTTGAAAAAGAATATGACTCTTTCGCGGTGGTATTTTTATGGAATTGGTGGTATTATCATTTCTGAGATCGCTTGTGGTCGCTGGATTACTAGTAGGCGTCAAGTGCAGGATTCTGGAAAAAGGGGTACACAAGGGAAAGGGAATAGGAAGAGGTGGTTCATTTCGGCCAGTGTACTGGGCGGCTTCTGACTTATGGATAGATGATGATACCCATTTCGCTTTTGATAACTATGGTCAAGCTTCTTTTTCGAGTTATCCTATCGCCGCCTCCGATACCTCGTCGTTCTATTCATCCATGCCTTCTACCGGCATATTGTAATCAGAGGCATGCGCATAGTTTTGGATAAATGCCCTTCTCCAAGGACTATGCAGGATGATAGTCCGTGTAAAGGAGAGTGACCAAGTATCATCGGTGCGGGCACCGGGTCAGAGGGATGAGGAACTTACTAAGCTAAGCGTGATAGTTCCACACTATAAAAATTTTGCCGCTACGCATATCGAGTATCTAAAACGCACCATTTCGATAGTCCACAATACATATTCCCATAAAGGAAAAAAAAAAATACAAAAATGAAGGTACGATGAGAGCTGCAGGATTCGAACCTGCGCGGTTTCCCATTGCGGGTCAAAGGTTCAAGATGTTCTCGAAGAAGACCTAAACACAACGCCTTAACCACTCGGCCAAACTCCCTGTTGATCCTATTGGATCTTTTTTTGATCCAATCCGATTCGTGGAAATCTGGTTGCTTAGTTGACCCTATCATACAAACTGTTTGCCATGTTGGTGGATGTAATGTGGATGCTTGGTGCTTAGATCCGGTCAGATTAGTGGACGATAGCGTACCTATGGAATAATTGGGACGATAAGTCTACCTCAATCTGAAGACTATTCGAGTTACGTAATATATTCGGAGGTTAAAATGAATGAGATCGCTTCATAGAGCTATATAGATACCTGATTCAAATACATAGTGCGAAGTCCTTTCAGTTGGACGAATGGCAATCAGGGGTATAAAAGTGGGGTTAAGGAGATGGATGCAGCTATATAGCAGAGATGTGCCGCACTTCTAGACAGTGTCCTATGGTATTTATAGATATATTAACAGCCTTTATAAAAGCGAGGTGCAACTATGTGGAGAGACTCGATAGTTTCACTTATTGTAGGTTTGACTAGCATTGATGTGTTGATGTCTGGAGATAGAACCCGATATAGATTCCATCAGAGGTAAGAGGGGGGTAATTTAGGGGCACCCTGAGATGTATAAGGGCAGAGGCGACGCTGCCCCGTAGGGAAACGCTGGCGTAACGCCCCTTAGTCACGGCCAGGTAAAATTACTGGTGATTTCAAAATAGATATGAGAGGGCCAAGACGAAGTCAAGAGTAAAAGTGGATGATTTCTATATACCATCTTATGTTCTATTTAGGCCCCTTCCTCAGGGTTTTACTTTGAAATCTACACTAATACATCATTATGCTCACTCTATACCTGTGGATCGGATAGCCCCCCTGCCCCTGATGCTGGTTTACTCCTGCTCCTTCTTTTCCTCGTCATCGGTGCTCTTTGGATCTCCCTTCAGTCGTATACTCGGAATTAAGAAGCAACCTAATAGACACAGGGCCATCATGGGGACGGTCATAATAAAGACGGCATGCACACCGTTGAGTTTCGCGTCCAGAATATCCGACTCCCACATTTCTGAGCCAGGCTCACCCTTTTGCCATAACCCTTCAATTACACGTGAGCGAAGGGCCGGAGGGATAGCATCTGACAAGCCTAGTTTCATGAATTGAAATTGGACTGTAGTCGCTATGGCCAGGCCGAAAACTGATCCTAACATACGCATTAAGTTTCGTGTCGACGTAGCTACGGCACGATCTTCTGGTCTGGATAGTGCTTGCAACGCGACGAGAGCTGCGACGGTATCAGTACTTGAGTTCAAGGAGCATACTCTTTACGAATCACCAGAGCCTTACCTGGTTGAAGATTACAACCGATTCCAACTCCTTCGATGATCAACGATATTACGTAGACGCTAACAGGGGTAGTTCGCGAAAAGAGTATCTTCAAGCCGGCTCCTAACGTCCATAGCGCCAATCCGCCAAATAACACGGGACCAGGTCTGTAGAACCTCTGTTAATTGCGATCAAGATGACTTCCAAACTGGAGACTTGCCTGCCAAGTTTAGATATGATTTGACCCGCAACCAATGCGGAGACGCTTTGAGTAAGGAGAAGAGATAACATGAGCTTTGCGTTTTTGAGAGGGTCGTATCCCCTGACGTCTTGGAAGTACATAGGCAAGAAGTATAGATTAATCTGCCAGACTCCATTATATAATACGCTTTGCAAGAAGATTATACTCGTGGATAGCTTGGTAAAGAGGCGTAGTGGTATCATGGGAATTTTCGCAATCCACACTTCGACGACTCCGAAGAGGATAATAAATGTGCCTCCCAAGACGAGCAGCGAGATGATGATGGGTTTAGTCCACGGGAATGTGCTTCCGCCCGAGTTGATAGCTATCTGCAATATATTAGTGTCGATGCAGGCAACAAGGAATGCAGTACTTACTACAAGAAACAGCACGCCAATTACTACTGTAAAGAGTCCAAGCCAATCTATCTTTTGTATCTTCTCGGACCATCTTCCCGTCACTGGTTTCAGGGGTAGCCATATCCAAGTTAAGGCCATACACTATGCTGGTGTCAGTGAATGAAAGCTGACAAGGATCTGTTAGAGTGTCAAAAAGGCTTGGTAAACATTATATCTGCGTACCTGAGTACTTGACAGACGTTCGGCTAGAGTCTCGAAGAAATATCTATGTAATAGTATCCACTTGACTCAGCAGCCCTAGAGTAAATTTCAAGATGGTGTTATAAATAGAAAAGGGGGTGAGCAAGAGTAACAAGATATACTCACAACAGTTGCAAGGATCGGAGGCACCCAAAAGATCCATCTCCAGCCGTCGCTAGAGTTAGCCATTATAGCCGCCGCAATAAAGGGACCCGTGCTAGCACCCAACCCAGTGGCACAGCTGAGTATTCCTTGGTACTTCCCACGGTCTCTCAAGCTGACCAAATCGCTAGCAGTGATCTGCACCAGCGAATTGATACCACCACCCCCGATACCACTCAGGGCGCGACAGACGTATAGCCATATGTAATTCTGAGCAAATCCGCACAGGAGGTCGCCTCCAATGAGGAAAACGATACAGATCATAAGCACGATCTTGCGGCCGAAGATATCAGAGAAGCGTCCATATAGGGGTTGAAATGCCGTTTGCCCCATCACATAGGCAGTGCCAGTCCATGTAATTGTATTGCCGGCATTCAAAGAAGTCGAGATAGTCGGGAGGGCAGTAGCAACAGAGTTGATATCGAGCTGTGATATGAAGTAAAGCGCTGATAAGCATAGATAGGCCGATATAAGTCGAGGGAACGGTAGTCGTTGCGTCTGATCTTGAAAGTCCAGGACTGGTATTGAAGTTTGACCGTGAATCTTGATCACGGACTCTTTATCCGGTGCAAGTATTCCTGCTTCGAGGCTGGACTCGCTTCGAGCAGCCGCATCGCGTGCCACGGGCACGGAAGCATATAATGGACCATTTTGACCCGACTTTTCGTTGGGCGTTTCGGTAAGACCTGACATGGTTATGTGAGATTGCCCTCTGGCCAGTCGGCATAGAATTTCAGAGATGTGAGGGATGAGATCAAATTTCTATCACTTCGAGGATACCGAGAAGCTGTAATCATCCCGAAGGGCTATCACAGTCTATATATACTCTGCGAATCAGCATTAACAAACTAATAGAACTGAGTGGTACCCAGAGTAGGAGTGTCGCGAATAGGTACGTAAACTCAATAGGGGAGCATCATTGGGGGAGACGGTGTTCCACATCAACCCTTGCTCATAACTCGTCGAGTTCGCTGCATCATCAACTCAACAATCTGTAACTTGAGCGCATCTGTCAATCTCGGTCTAGCCCTGGAGGAAGGTAAGCCAGCGATGAAACTTGGCTTTGGCGCTTACTCAAATGCTGCCAAGTAGGTATTCATTTCAAATTACCTCTCCGCAAAGATTTCGAGGTCAATTATTTTCAAACGACGTTCTGCGTCCCCGCAGGTAGATAACTCAAATACAGACACTTGGAGCAAGGTGCGTTGATCCGGTCATTGTTCTACAGATGGCGACTTACTGTAACAAAAAGGGTTTCCGTCACGAGATGGACGGTCCACGAGGCATGGGGTATTTATCAGGCAGCAAATATAAGCTTCGATATAAGCTTCGACGCATATTTCTGGGTACTTGCCTAATATATTAATAAATACCTCGTAAGGCCTTGAAAGTATAATTTGGATTTGCTATGGCGTATCCACTGGGCTAGTAGCTGACCCTGTTAACGCCATCCAACTAAGTCAGTAAAGCCATATTTCTTCCACCCTCTTATTCTCTAGTGGGTGAAGTATAACAGGGAGGCTTCTTCCTGGTTCCGAGACCGAGAAAGTTCCCTCTTCCACCTGTGCTCTGAAGCCTACATTTAGGGCCCGGGACGGAGTCGGAAATGATTCTCGTAAATCCTTTACCATAGTGTAAAATGAGAATGTAGACGTAGGCGTAGTAGTAATACACACTGCTGGCAAACTCTATGTGACTATCCCTTTTCCAGCTTAGTAACTTTGAAAGCCTCGTCCAGCTAATCTCTCAAGTTATCCAAACCAGGGAGAGTAATAATTGCCTTATACTTATGTCGGGGGGGACTCAAACTCAGGGGGCACAGCCACAAGCTTATATCTCAGCCGCTGTAACATCACTAAAGTACTCTACGCTTCGCCTTTTAGAGTACGTGCCAGGATTTGATATCCAACGAGATAAATAATCGTACAACATAAGGTCCCGTTTATATCACTTAAAGCTGCGATCCGTGTATTAGTTCGCCGAAAAAATTACTATGCTTCACCGAATACAGCCTCCGAACGGAGGTTATTGCCACCGGGAGGTGGCATCTGATACGATAGACGATGATTAACAACTAGGTTAAGGTAGTATTCTTTTATCCCAACTAGAAAAAATCTCACAATCTCCGGCATTTAGTCGAATAAGCTGCATTAACTTGCATGAGGTAGATGCTGTAAAACCGCCCGAAACGACCGACAGGGGTATTCATACTACTCTGATTCTTTGGTCGACTTTGTTCCGGTGACCGACCTAGAATTCTGCACCCGAGGATGATGTGATTGACGCTTATTTCGTTCTAATCGCTCGGACAGCATTCGGATATATTTCAACAACCCATTGAAAAGCAGCTACTAATAATTAAAATACGCAACTTGCGATATCAGATGAGAGCGACGTCCGAATCGACCTTCGTCGTGATATCTCGGCTAACTCCACTAGACAAGCTTCCATGGCACGTCTTGTCAATCACTTAGCTTCCAACCCCTGCGCCTCTTTCCCTTGGCGCTCGTCTTGAACCCCGCGATGCCAAGCTTCGGTACCGAATGCCCCTGAAGCCCCTCTGTATAGTCGAACTGCCTACTTTGTCCAGCCTTGGCGCCACTGACGTGTATGGCGATGACAATGAAGATGTCGGAACGGCAGAAGCGATACGACCGAGGTGCCGCAGTGGAACTTCCTAGCCAATACACACATATCGCTAACCTGTGCCAGGGTTAGGGTCAGTGTCCCATCCA